GTGAGCGTGAGTGAGAGTGGGAGAGTGAGAGTGTGAGGGGGTGTGAGTGTGAGTGAGAGTGGGAGAGTGAGTGAGTGTGAGTGCGAGTGTGAGTGAGAGTTAGAGTGGGTGTGAGTGAGAGTGAGTGTGGGTGAGAGTGAGTGTGAGTGAGGGTGAGTGTGAGTGCGAGTGAGTGTGGATGAGAGTGAGTGTGAGTGAGAGGGATTGTGAGCGTGAGTGAGGGTGGGAGAGTGAGAGTGTGACGGAGTGTGAGTGTGAGTGTGAGTGTGAGTGAGAGTGGGTGAGTGAGTGAGTGAGTGAGTGAGTGAGTGTGAGCGCGAGTGTGCGTGAGAGTGTGAGTGAGAGTGAGTAGTGTGAGTGAGAGTGAGAGTGAGAGTGGGAGAGTGGGTGAGTGTGGGTGTGAGAGTGAGGGTGAGAGTGAGAGTGAGAGTGAGGGTGGGAGTGAGAGTGAGTGTGAGAGTGAGAGTGAGTGAGTGCGAGTGTGAGTGACAGTGAGTGTGAGTGTGAGGTTCACCAAAGTGCTGTGCCTGCCATGAAATCTGCACTTCGAGGTTCACAAAGTCCTTTGCCTGCCACGAAATCTGCACTCCGAGGTTTACCAACTGCTGTACCTGCCACAAAATCTGCACTTCGAGGTTCACCAAGGGCTGTGCCTGCCACGAGATCTGCACTTCGAGGTTCACAAAGTGCAGTACCTGCCACGAAATCTGCAACGAGCCACATGTCCAAAAGTCACGATTCACTGCACCTGTCACGCAATCAGAGCTCTTCGACGATCACCACCATGTCCAAAGCGCTGCACCTGCCACGAAAACTGCATTTCGAAGTAAGACAGCTCCGATCCCTTGCACCTGTCACGAAAAGTCGACTTTGGAGCACGAAGCCGCGAGGTTTCCATAGCAAGACAAAAAGCACATGAGAACTCTAGTGCTGATCAAGACAAATCTTGCAGTACACGCAAACCATACACAAACCACCAGTTGCGAATAATTTCTCTGATTCGGTGCTGTGCGGTTCTTTAAATCGGCATCTTCTTTAGTTACAGTTTCGTATGATATACGTACCTAGCACTTCCAATGGGTGCCCAATGGAGACCTATAAGAAGGGTAGGGTAGTCTATTGGACACCCATTGGATGATCCTGATATATATATATATATGTTAAAAAAGTACATAATATTTAGTATAGACCTGGACTCGACTGCTTGTACCTCCAAACAAGGGTGCAGTCTCAGTCGCACCTGTTTTTATAGGGTCATGGCCGGTCATGGCCCATTTTCTAGGGGGGTAACTTTGGAGGGTTCAGGTATGTGGTTCAATTCAACTCTCTTGCTGTCCCGCCTGGACCAATCAAACACATCGATTCCCATCCCCATGCAGTGGCAGCGGTGTCCACACGCGTGTTTTGTCCGCGTTTTCTGGCCTCCGTTCCTCATTGGTCTCGAGCTTCTCCAACTCCGCCAAACTGGGTAAAGCTTGAAAGTGTTGAAGCATCGAACGTCGCAAGGGGGAAGAGATGCGTGGTGTTTTCGTCGATGCAAATCATCAGAAAATGTGGCTTCAGAAATATGGGATGGGAGCTCTTTGCAGGGATTCTTCTGAGGATGTGGGCCCCAGGGAAATTTCAAGTCCTTTTCACAGTGCCGTTCACCATGCAAGACGCTGCGGGAGGGACCATATCCTCTAAGTCCACCCCTCAACACCCCTCAAAACAGATGCGTTTGATCAATCACCTCCTCGCCCTCTATCACCGCAAAAACCGCTGCTTCGCCTGCCGAGGTGAAACAGTTCGGTGGAGCCGGACCGACGCGTGGTGGACCCGACTCCGTGTCCGAAGCTTCTAGCGACTCCATCCGTCCACTCGTTCACCGATCGGAGGTCGGTCCGCTCCCGTGAGTTTCGCCGAGCTCCAAACCGGGATTGGTCCGCATATATGAGGTAACGGCCCCTATAGGAGGGGTCCAGACTTCGCGTTCTGGGCAGGGACCTGACGATGTTGCGGTTTTCGTACGAACATGCTACGAACGAAAACCGAAGATGTGCTGCGACCGGTCACGAACCGGAGAGAACGATGCGGCCAGCGCTCGTTGGAGGGTGCGAAGCGATGGTCGAACACAGGCCCTGACAGGTCCATGCCGCTGAAGAGCTCGCCGAACACGACGTGCTTCCTTCGCTGAGCTCGAAACATGGCAGGCATCCGAATTGGGTTAGGGGCCCCACCTCGTTTCAGGAAAACGCTCATTTTGCCTGTGGTGAAGCGGAGGAAGTTTCCTTTCAGAATTCCCTTTCAAGTATTGAAAAAGGCGTTGTATTCATAGTCTTTGTGTGTCTTTGTGTTTCTTGTAGATAATCATGATAAGCCATGGTATACCCCTGGTATGTGTCAGTTCACATGACTGTCGTCAGTATGGGAGTACAAGGCCTATGACCCGTCCCTTCCACCCGTCAATCGCCCCATCACCTCCAGATCGCCCTCGTCCAAAACGACGCCCTCGGTAACAGGCCAGCCCAACATCTGTGGCTTCATAATGAACAATTACTCTTATTGGATTTGCTTGAGGTACCTGGAGAAAAAACATATTAATATATTCCATACTCCACAGAAGGGGATTTACCACTATTAATAGGACAAGTAAAACATCAACTCAAGCAAAACCAGGTATTTCTACCTTTTCAAGCACTCATCGGTCAGCCGCCATGTTTTGTCCGGCTAGTCCGTTTTCGCGCCACAAGCGGTCAGAAAGTCGACAAAGTCCTGGCGAAGAACACCGACGAGATCTCGAGATCAAGGTCGTCTTGCCAAAGCGCGGACGCCCCGGCCATCTCATCCCTTCAGAAAACGGGATATATATATATATATACCTTGAAAACCCAACCTGGCCTTTTTTTTGCCATCGGCTGATTTGGAAGCAAAAAACGTACTCTTTCAAGCAACAGTGTAATCGAGAGTGAAAAGTGCTATCGTGTCTTCCTGGCCCATTTCAGCGGGAACAGATCCACTTCAAATTGAGCCTTCAAACCTGACAAACCTGGGCCATATTATTGTCCGGGTATTTCCGCCTTTGTTCCGCCGATTTCCGCCTTTTGGACGGGTATTTCCGCTCTTGTTTTTTGGTGTTTCTTTTGAGCCCGGTGGCTGGGAACCCTTTGGATCCGGTTTCTCATGTAACACGTCTGGAATGTTGTGAAATACCAAAAAGTGTATGTTGGGATCTGTGAAGTTGAGAAAGTATCATTATTTCACAAAACATTGTTTTTTCCAAAATGACTAAAATAATGCACACTTATGGTTTACTAGGTATATATATATATATTACACTCCCGAAAACTAGCATGGAACCTGATGGCATGGACCTTTGGAAGACTATTTTCCTCTACAACCCAGTGCTTTTCAGGTTCCATGTTAATCTTCCTGAGTGTATACCAAACTCGCCGAAACAGGATTAGACCATGAACGAAGAGTGGGATGTTCACCTGGCTTCGTAGTGTCGAAATCCTGAGTAAAACAGCTGTAAAATCAATATTGGTTGTTGCAATCCTATGGAACATCTACTATCCACCCAACTCTAGTAATTGGACTCTCCGATACATGGAATAAGCTACAACATTCCTACATACATGTGTTTGCCGGAGAGGAGCTCCCATTTTCTCGAAAAGTTCAAGCAGGTTTCTGTGGTTGAACCGTCGGACCTACGGATGACTCCAACATGTCTGACCCAGGCACCAATAGATGCGACTGGAATATCGATCACCCAAATGTATGTAAATGGCTGCCCTAGCAGTCAGTTCGACCATGAAAAGAATGGTTATAGTCTAAAATCCATATAAAGTACAAACAAATATATAGTTACTTCATATGTTATTCTACAAACACATGTAAAAACAACATCAATTAAACAATGGTTGTTGGCTGTTGTTGGAATCCCTGAGTTTGTATATATTAGGGAAAAACAAAGCATCCACAAACCCACCTTCTCAGGTTTGGTATCCTCCTGGAATCTCAAAAAAGAGTGGCAGTGGATCCATAGTTCAGATATGCCCAAATGATCCATGGCGCAAACATGATTTACATGAAAGCCACCCAATACCACCAGTCATGGCCATAAATCTTTACGCCAGAACATTGATCGTCTGGGTAGGGTATGCCACACATAGAGTGTGGTTCACCAACGTCCCAGCTCAAATTGAAAAGGTGATCATTCCAAATCCTATTTAGAAGAAGGCAAAAACTCGCTGGAGTCCAAACAGGTGTCCTAATTAAATGTCTCAATGTTCGCAAAATGCACATACATGCACTTATAGTTACCTGTTGCCCACAAGAAATCCACGAGAAGCCCTGACCAATTTCCATCTACTAGGACCCACAAAAGGTGGTTGATGGCCACCCCTTAACCTCTAAGGGGCTATCAATAGACACCCCAAACAGGGTGTCCATCTATCCATTTTCCTTTTTTTCTGTTCTGCTCCTGGACCTTCCGTTCAGGGGACCGTTCCGCGGTCGGAAAAACCGGAACTCGAACGGGGTTCGGGTCCAGCCGGAACACGATGAGATCCCGGGGTCGCCGGAATGGATTTCAGGGACATTCTCTACACCCTAGGGCTCCTGGCGTACCTTCTCAGAAGGTATGACTGGACCCTCTAAACCCACCCCAGTCCCACCTTCTTAGAAGGTACTTGGAGCGACAGGAAACCATCTTCCGCTGTTCCCTTAAACCATTCTGGGAGATTGGGGGAAGATCACCCTCTTGGTCGGTCGGTGAGCAGTGTTCAACTCTCTCACGTTGGTGGTCGGTCGGTGGTCCAGGAGGATACCGAACCCGAGAAGGTGGCAGTGGATTCCATACACTTGTACCTATAGGCCTACCATGGCCTACCCAATGCTTCAATCAATGGTATGTGAGTTTAACACGTGCGTTGTTGCAAGAGCGTTTGTTTCCGATTTTTTGTGTTTTTAACCAAGCGTAGTGTGTGAGATCCACTTCCCTCGCGATTGACCTGTGGTCGGTCGGGTTGACTTTTTTGCGAGGTCAGGTTCTATGGCAAATAAACATACCTCTTCCACAGCAAAAGATGAGTGTACTATACCCCAAAGAATATACCTTCTACTACGGCTTGTCTACGGTTCTTGAGCTGGGCCGGAGGCAGGGAATGGCAGGCAACAAAACATGTGTTGGTTTGCAATAATTACACAATATTACACATGCTTTCCGGGAAGGCTGTTTTTCAATGAAGCCTGGTGCGTACATTTGGGCAGTTGATGTTAGGGGTCAATCTGAGTGTTCGAACCACAGTTTTTTTGCTTGTTTGACCCCGCGATACACCGACCCTGAGAAGGTGGCAAAGGATACCTCAGCCCAGCGGGGTGTCCCACGTGCGGAGGGATCCAGGACCGGTACGACCGGACCCGACTGGATCCAGCACCGTCTCACTCAGTGGAGACAAGACATCACTACATAACAGTAAGCCTGGTGAGTGGGTGCCTGGATCCCGAGAGAATGAACTTTGGTAAGTCATTGTGCTTCCATCGTCCAGAAGAACGACCACGACCACCGAAACCGTGACCGATTCGTCTGGCCATCAGCGGCCCAACACTGGGCGGTTGAAAATAGATTAAACGGTTTGATGAGACACCCCAAATAGATAACAGTTTATCCACGCTAAACATGTATTGGAAACCGTGCCACTATCTATTTGGGGACTTAAAAAAAAAATAGTTTTGCACAGTTTGGTACATCCAGGTCTACCCCCTAGGAATTCCAAAAATATGCTCAAGTCAAGCGTCTAGGTCCTAGGTGGTTGTGTTTGAAGGTGGTCTTAGTCTTTTCATCTTCAAACCACCCGACGATTCATCCCAGAAACACCAAGAGACGTTGAGAGACCTTGGACCCTGTAGTGATGCAACAAAGGTTGAAGGACCCGAACTAAACATCGCCCAGTTGGGTACGGTAACGGGTCCCTTTCAGGTCACTAAGTCCACCTCTCTTGTTTCACCCCAGGAAAGCGGGTTTGCTCGCTCGCTGTTTCGAAGCCAACAAAGGTTGGTCTGGACCTGAACTAGACTATCCCAGTCAAATACCCCATGTGAGGTCCTAATAACCTCTCTTGGATACCCCTCTATACCCCTCTCCACCCCTCAGCTCTCCTGGTAACCCCTCTCTTGGGCGATCTGCAAGACGTCTCGCCCTCGCACGGAGCGATCACTGGCTGCGTCACTATGTACTGAACCAGTGGCCCGAACCAAACCATGAACAAAACACAGGTTTTCACATACCAAAACCATGTTTTCTTGCTAGAAAACACCTGGTCTTTGATGGTTTGTGGGGAAGACTAGAAGACTATACTAAAGTCAGTGGGATCCATATGGATCAATCCATCTCAAGAGATCTCAAGAGTGGTGTTCTAAATGATGAAACCTTTTCCGAACCGGCCAAAATCTTGATACGACGACATCCTCTGACATCGGCTTTCGGCTCTACAGGTAACTTCGGACACTTGTCGGACCGGTCGCCGATGAAATCGCCGCTTTGGCGGGGGCCTTCGTGGTCTTTGGTGTTCACGTCAGCCTTGGCCTCCACCAGGGCCTCAGCAGGGTCTTCCGTTTGGGTCGAGTTCACGAGCTGATTGTTATTTTGGTCTACTCTTTTGGATGGTGCTTTTGAGACCAAAAAGAGGTCTGACAGGAAATTCCTGGATGCACCAGAAGACGGCAAAAGGAGCAGAAGGTGTGGCAAGTAGAGTGTAGTAGTAGCAGCAGCAATAATAGTAGTAATAGTAGTAGTAGCAGTAGTAGTAGGAATACCAGTATCAATATGAGTAGCAGTAGTAGTGGTTGTTGTTGTTGCTTTTAGAGGTGGCAAACACAAAACAAGCAAAACGGTGTATCAGTTTGTGGTGGGCAGAGTTGTTGAAGAGAGACTGTTTCCAAACGAGACAACCGGACATGAAGGGGGCACCAAAAAAAGAAAAACAAAAGTGAGAGCAATTACAAGGAGCATCAAGGAGCACAGGGACATAGATAAAATAGATACCCTGTTCCATCCGACCCCCCAATAAGTCCAGTGCTTTCGAAAGAGTACAACCCCAAGCATGATATATCATGATATAGCACGTTTAAATAATTGTTTCGCTCTTGGGCCCTCCGTCATCCCCCGTGGTCCTTGACCTATAA